TTTGGGGAAATGCAGACACTGACTTCTGGAGTGGGGGAAAAAAAAAAAAAGGGAAATATCTCTATGGTTTCAAGATTTCATTTTAAAACTCTCTTATTTTACCATGAAGGCCTGCAAACATTGCCACCAAGGATTTTCCAACTTGGAAATGGAGATAAACAGCACAAAGAAGGAGTCAAATGCTCAGGGAGCTGCTGCTCCCCTTGCCCTGCCAGGATGGGTGTCCTGGGAGAAGCTGGGGAGGATTTCCATGGAAGGATTTATTTCCCATCCAATCTTACTGCTGGATCATTTCTTACCCCAATATCTTTGAGAAAAGGCAATTTCAGGGCTGCCATGTGAGCAAGGGCTGTCCCCACTTCCCAAATCCCAGCTAACCTGGAGCTTTGGAGCCATTCCTTCTTTTCCTGGCACTTCAGGCCTTTCTCCAAAAATCCAGAGTGGGCACAACTCACATCCAAGGGATGCCCTGGCAGCAATAATCACTTTAAATACCCAGGATTTTGCACATTTGTGCTGATTCCAATGCGGTGGCTTTGGGACCTTCCATTTCTTTTAATTCCCAGTTGGAAATAATCCTATTTTTTTCCCCTATTTTTTTCCCAGTTCCTGCTGGAGTGAGAGGATGGAGCTCTGAGGGGTTGGTGACAACATTCCACCTGTCTGAGGGACAATATTCCAGCTGTGATCCCACTCCAGCATCACAGCTCAGACATCCACAAACATCCCAGGATGGAGCTCTCAGCTGAGAAATTCTGGGCATTTTCTGGCAAGAAATACAAGCAACATTTCAAACCTGTTTGCTTTGTCTTTCAAAAGTACTGTGGGGGAAAAAAAAATAGTCAGAAAATACTATTAATAAAGTAATAAAGAAATAGTTACTCAGAAAAGCCTATTAATAAAAGAATAAATTAATAAAAAACAGGAGAGAAGAAATCAGGAGGTGGAGTTATCCAGCAAATCCAGGCCATGGGCAGGGATCCATAAAAATGCTGCTCACACCCCTCTCTTCCAAGAAGTTCCAAAGTTTTCCAAGGAGTGGTTGCAATCATTTTGCAGATCAGTGCAGCTTCACATTTCTCAACCCCAGCTCCAACGAGCTCATGATGCTTGATCCCATTTCCCTGTGCCAGACCAGAGGCACAAACAAATCCCTGTTTCCATCTGAATGGTGCAAAGTGCCAGAGAAAAACCCCCGGATTTTATTCTTAATATTCTATAATTTGCTTTCATTCCAATTTATCCATCCCAGAAGAGGGAAAGACAACATTAGCAACACGTGGCTGGATCCTGAGTGGAGTCCATGGACTGGTCCTGCACACCCTGGAAGCTTCTGGAATCTTTTTGGAGCCAAAAGCAGCTGAGCTCCTCTGGAACCAGGGATGGGAAATGGAAACGCAGGAGGATCTCAGGGCTTGGGGGACACACGAGGAGGCACCAGGAAAGTCAGGCCCATGGAAAATCCCAAATTTCAGCAGCACCTCCTGCCAACCCTGCTGCCAAATCACCCTGCCAGCAGCCAGTTTTAAATGAAATATTTCAACAGAATGTTTTACAAAGGTTTTAAAAGAAATATGGTTTTGAATGAAATATTTCAACAGAACATTTTTAAACCACCAGCAGTGAAGCTCTGCAGCTGCAGCAGCACTGGGAATCATTTGCAGTGGCTTCACCTTGAATTTCCCTGCTGCTGCTGCTGAGCACAGCTCAGAGCTTTGACCTGGGAGCCAAACCTTGGATCTTGCCCTGCTGGCACTTGAAAGTTTCTTCATCCTACCCTACATCCTGATTCCAATAACATATTTTAAAAATTTATTAGTAATTACACCCAATTTGCTAAAAAAAACCCCCAATAAATAAGGCTTTTCAACCTTTCCTTTCCTTCTTCTCTATTAAATCACTTTTAAAAAATATTCCATTTTCCCTAAATATTAAAATAATATTTTTAATGAATTGTAACATGTAATCTAATAAATAAATTAAAATAAATATAAATAAATAGTAATAAAAACAATAAGTAATATAATTAATATAATTATAAAGTATATATTTTAATATATATAAAGTATATGGAATTAATATAATAGTATATAAATAATATATAATTAATGTGGGTAATAATTAATATAATTATAAACAATATAATTATAAATAAAGTGTGAAACAGTAAATAATACATAAATTAAAAATAAATAAATCTAAATAATTCCTAATATTTTATTAATCCTAATATTTAATCTAATAAACTTTCTTTGTATAATCTGCAATTTATTTAAAATAAAAATTAAACTATCCAAAGGATGTTCTTGGGAGAACATGCCAGAATCCCGGGATGGTTTGGGTTGGGAAGGGCCTTAAATCCCATCCAGTGCCACCCCTGCCAGGGACAGGGACAGGGACCCTTCCCCTGTCCCAGGCTGCTCCAGCCTGGCCTTGGGCACTGCCAGGGGCAGCCCCAGCTGCTCTGGGCACCCTCCCAGGGAACAATTCCTCCCTAATCTCTGCCCCTTCTGCAGCTCTGGGCAAAGCACCATAAGATTTTTTTTTTTTTTTCCCATGTAAGAACATGTTTGCAACATTAAAGAATGGATGTGCATGAGAAGTTTGCATTTAAAAACTTTCCTTTCGTATTTTTGATTGAAAGTAAACGGATTTAAACAGAAGGGAAATACTGACATCAGCAAGGTTTCAAAACAAGGGGTGATTTTATGTAGAAAGGATTGCAGATCTCTGCTGCCCCCCTGGTTCATAACAAATAATGGGATTTTGCTCTTTGGTCGCTGTCAGGGCTGAGTCAGGGTCCGTGGGGCAGAGTTGGGGAGGTGCTGATCAGGAAATGTTTTCTGTGACTCAGAGGAAACCAATCTCCTTTCTCCTGTCTCTCTCAAGGTGAGGGGTGTCCTGTCAAACTGCAGCTTTAATTCCAGGGTTTGTGATGTTTTTACAGGTAGCTGTGAGAAAAAAAAGACAAGGAATCATAGCCTAGGCAGAGAATGAACCTCAAGGTGACAAGCAAGAAAAAAGCAAATTATGGTCTCATTTACAGAGCAATTCCCTGAGCCACAGGAGAGCTTCAATGATTTGAGCCATAACAATTTGAGCTGAGTCACCAAAAACTCAATATAATTGAGTCAGGTTGCAAGGAAGGAACTCCAGGCCATTCACATGCTCTGAGGCTCTGCTATTCTGTATTTTTAAAGGGCTGCCTGCTCAATTCATCAACATTGAAGGAGCTGAGAAATCATTCCCTGGAAGTTTTTACCAAGACAAATACCAGCTCTTAAACACTGAATTTTTAAAGCCATATTTTATAGGGACAGGTGGCACTGCTGATGGCAGGAGGGCAGGTTCCAGCTCAGTTTATTAGAAAACATCCTTAGATTATAAAGTCTTGGACTATGTCCTGTGGAGAATAGAACTGTTGGATTAATGAACCTGGAGAGGTGGATCAGCCATTGAGCCTCCCCATATTTCTGTGGTTAAAATTTAACTGGGTACTGGGCAGAAAGTGAGGCAGGTTTCTTATTATTTTATACAGGGTAAGAAATTTCCCTTTATTCCTCAGAGCTTCAATCAAATCCTGACTGATTTCCACTATGTAAATGAAACATTTTGATTATTTAGGAACAAAACCTAATTTAAAAAAAAACTATATTTATAGATTCCTATAAACAATGACCTCAGAGATATCATCAAAGTCTCAAGTAGTTTGAAAAATGAAATAAAAATCACAAGACTACAGAAATAAAATCCATGGATTTCAAATCTAATTACTGCTTAAAAAGTTTGGGATCAAAAAAATCATAAAACCAGAAAAATCTCAGTTCAATAACACTGCATTGCAGAATTAATATTTTCCCAGGTATTTACTCCTCCTGAGAAATTCTTGGTTATTTCAAATCCATAAAAAATTCTCCCTGTCATCACAGGACACAGCAGAGAAGCTTCAGGACAAGAACTCCACAGATTGTGCCCTAAAGGTTAATTCAAAAGCTCTGGATGATCCAGGAGCAGGGCTTCAGTGTAAAGTGGGATAATGACATTATAATTAATAGAAATAAAAGCTAATGGAATCTCTGTTACTCTACACTGACAAGAAATTATTAATTTATATTCCCGGTTTCAGGCCAAAATGATGGGGACTGAGTTTATCTGAAATTCTTGAAATTTGGCTCCAGTCTTTTCATTCAGCAATGAAGGTTCTGTTTGAAATTGTGTTTTCTGGTCACTGTAAAAAGAATATATTCCCTTGGTTTCTAGCACAGAATAGATTTTTTCCAGGATTTCTCCCTGTACCTATTCACTGCTTCCCTGAAATGAAGCCTTGCTCCAGGTATTTGTTTCCTCCCTGACAAAAAGCAAAAGGGAAGGAGCTATTCTCTAAAATATGTGGAATTTAATTAGGAATCAGAGGAATTTCTTAGAAAATAACCTATTGACAGTAGACAGAAGCTCCTCACCCCACCAAAAGCCAAGACCAACACCATGTTTTCTGAAATGTAAAGAATTTAAGAGGATTCCCAAAGGCACAGTTGAGTAGCTGCTTGGGCAATTGGAATGGAGAAGGAACATTTTACAACTTTATCATAACATATCAGAGAGAGATTGGCTAGAGATGGGCAGATTGCAGGCTGGCTGTCAGGATTTGAGCAGGAAGAAGCAGGGAGCTCAGAGCTGTCCAGGAGGAGCTGGGAACGTGCCAGAGCCCGGCTCTGCATGAGCCCAGGCCTGGGATCTGGGAAGCGACGCCTTGGCCAGGACCATAAATCACCCATGGACAATTCCAGCGGCCTTTGCCAGGCTGCTTTGGTTGTCACCATGGCAACACCTTTCCCCCAGGGCAAAGTTCGATTATTTTACATTTTTATTGCCATTTCTGTTTGTTTAAAGTTTACCAGAACGACTTTGTGCTCGGACAGCGCCGAGGAGGAATCACCCTCATGGTACGCGGGACTAAAGGGAACCAAATCCTCTGAAGTGGGGGGTAAATCTGGGGAAAGATGCCATCCAGGAAGAAAACCTCCATGTTTGCCTCTGCCTTTTGCACCTGCGTGGGCTCCTTCATGGTGATCTGTGTGGTGCTGGCCACCCCGCAGTGGGTGAGCAGCGAGGTTCGCTTCTCGCGCACCGGCACCACCGTCACCGTCAGCCTCACCTACGGCCTCTTCAGTGGCACCTGTGAGCAGTTCGTGGATGCAGGGCTCCAGGTGTCCAAAACCACCTTCCAAGGTAAGTGCTGGCACAGCTGGAAGGGGATCAGAGCATCCCAGGCTGGTTCGGGTTTGGAGGGAGCTTAAATTCCATCTGTTCCCACCCCGTCCCACACCTTCCACTGTCCCAGGCTGCTCCAAGCTCCATCCAGCCTGGCCTTGGGTACTTCCAAGGATCCAGGGGCAGCCACAGCTTCTCTGGGTACCCTGTGCCAGTCCTTACATCGAATTTAAATCCATACCTCATATTTCAAAATTATTTAAACTATTTTAAGATGCGTATGTCCATCAGCGGCACAAGTAAGATCTCAGCTTGGGTTGGACACAGGGAAGGAATTGGACTGGCCTTGGACACTTCCAAGGATCCAGGGGCAGCCACAGCTGCTCTGGGCAGCCTGTGCCAGTCCTTACATTTAATTTAAATCCATATCTCATATTTCAAAATTACTTAAACTACTGAAAGGTGGATATGTCCATCAGCGGCACGAGTAAGAAGATCTCAGGTTTGGGTTGGATACTGGGAAGGAACTGAACTGGCCTTGGACACTTCCAGGGATCCAGGAGCAGCCACAACCTCCCTTGGAAACCCATTCCAGGGCATCACCATCCTCACAGGCAGGAATTCCTTCCCCATATCCAAACCCAAGTCCAAGGTCTTCTTACTCATACCACTGACAGCTGTATCCATCTCACAATATCTGAAGTGAGAACAAGAATTGAAGTGGAGGATTTAACTGGTATAAAATAAGACCCCCCAAAAAGCACAGAAATTCAACAATAACAGCTTACCACATGTGATCTTGGCCTGCACCTTGGAACAAGGGAAAAAACCACAAAATGGGGCTTTCTGTCAAATTGACTTTGATTTTCGGAAGTTCAGTGAGGAACAGGAAAAGCAACACTCATCACTTAATTAAGGGATTTACAAACCTTATTCACCTTCCAATTTCATGATGTTAATTTATTGTTTTGACTTTAAACATTTTGCTGCCTGCTACTGAATTAACACCGTTTTGATAAAGAAAGTTTTGAAGGCTGCTGCAGGAAAAAGAACAAAACACACAAAACAACAGCCAAGGGGAGATAAACCTGAAAGCTGCTGCAAGGATCAAGGGTTTGCACTTATTTTATCTGCCTTGCTGCCTCATCAAGTTCAGAGCAATAATGCTGGTGACACACTGGAAAGGGAGAAAAGCCACTCAAAAGAAAGCTACCAAAAATATGAGCAGGTCAAGTAAATTAAAATATGAGCAGGTCAAATAATTTAAAATATGAGATATGGATTTAAATTAGATATAAGAACTGGCACAGGGTGCCCAGAGCAGCTGGGGCTGCCCCTGGATCCCTGGCAGTGCCCAAGGCCAGGTTGGACACTGGGGCTGGGAGCACCTGGGACAGTGGGAGGTGTCCCTGCCATGGCAGGGCTGGCACTGGGTGGGATTTAAGGTCCCTTCCAACCCAGACCAAACTGGGATTTGAAGATTCTTTAAGAAATAATTTCATTTTTTGGTAGGCTGTTGTGAGATGTCCCAGCACAGCAGATCTAAACCTCCAGCCTAATAAATTAGGCTCTTCCCCAGCCTAATTTATTCCTGAAATTGCAGCAGCAGAAACACCTGAATTCCCACGGTGGCAGAGCTGTGTTGCACAAACCAGTCCCCATGTTTGACTGGATTCCATTTCATTCCTGTTCTCATGAAACCCTGAGCACAGCAGCACTCCCAGCAAGAGGTGGAGCATGGATTGGTATTGTTACATAACAAGTACAAAATCCCCACTCATTCCATCCTATTTTATTACAGCCACAGCCGAATAACAAAAGTGATTTTTAGAAGAGTAAACAATAATAAAGATATAAAATCATTTATATGTGGTTGTCGTTGGCTGAAGCCCCAGACCTTGAGCCATGTGGGCAGCTGATTTTAATGTGGCTCTGTGGGAAAGGTGGAATCCTGCCCTGGGGAGCTGATGGCAGAGGAGGCTCCAGGCTGGCTGCAGTCCAGGGACTGTGCCCTGCCTGTGTCTGAGGCAGCTCCCACAGCCCAGTGCCAGGGCCTGGGTGTTGCCACCAGATCGATTTTAATCAGAATTAATGAAATGAACTCACAACACTCTGGTATCAGTGAAGGGTTTCAGTTCTCTGCCTGGCCTGCATTGGTGGTGTTGGGTTTTCCCTCACCAGATTTGGGGTTTTGTGCTTATCATTTATCAAATGCTGAGAGAACATTTACAAAAAGTGATCTCAACTCTCCCCATCAGTTATTTAGGGATGAACAAAATGAGTGAGCTGCTGGATTTGTGAATTTCCTTCCACAGCTGCTGAAGGAAAGTGATGCTTTATCAATAATCTAAATTTGGGTTTTCCCACATCCCCCACTGGTTCTGTCAGGCAGGTATGCAGAATGAGAAGAACTGATTTAACTGAAATTAATTCTTAGGCTCTGGAATAAGCATGATTGTCATATTTTATATTATTTGCTGAAGAAATCCTTCCCTGGGAGGGTGCTGGGCTGGCACAGGTGCCCAGAGCAGCTGGGGCTGCCCCTGGATCCCTGGCAGTGCCCAAGGCCAGGCTGGACACTGGGGCTGGGAGCACCTGGGACAGGGGAAGGTGTCCCTGCCATGGCTGGGGTGGCACTGGGTGGGATTTAAGGTCCCTTCCCACCCAAACCAGTCTGTTCATTCATTGTCTTCCATTTATAGTTGAAATAGGAAAAATGCTTCCTAGAATTCCATATATTCTCTCTTCATATTCAAATTCATTTATTTTCCTGTCCTCCTAAGGCAGGAGATGTATTTCCTTTGCTGATATCCTTAAATAAATGGATTTCCAGTGCTATGGAGGAACAAAGTGCTGAGCTCTCTCCATTCCAACATTTCAGACATCAACAAGAGGAGTTCTAAACATCCCTTAAAATCACAGCATGATTTAAAAGCAGCTGTGCCCTGCCTGGGGGCTCTGCTGTGCACCCCACGTGCATTTCTCAAATGGCATTGTCATATTAGGGTGTGGGAAAAGAAGGACAATCCCTGAAGGGTAAATCAAAGTCAAGAACTTGGGGGGCGATTTTCAGGAATAGTCCAGGTTGACTTTTATCAGTGGTCATTTAAAAACAGATCATCAACAGCCTTTACAAAAAAACCAAAAACAAAACCAAACAAACCCAAACAAAAAACCCCGACAACAACAAAACAACAAAACCCAAAAAAACCCACAACAAAAACAAACAAACAAACAATCAACAAAAACCTTATTTCTCTAGAAACCACAACATTCCAAGAAATTTGCAAGCATAAAGATGAAAGACAGAGGAATCATAAAGATGAAAGACAAAGGAATGCCATTTCTGGCAGTGCCCTGTGCGTGGAGTGCCCAGCCAGGGTGGCTCTTTCCCAGCCTTAATAGAGCAATAAATCACTGCAGCCACTCCTCAGGCTCTGGGGATGGCAGAATGCAAAAGTTATTTCATAACCAGACTCCTCAGAGCCCTCCTGAGCTGTTTGAATGATTTGTCTTACAGAGGAACCAGCTGGGAGTAAAATGTCCGTCAGAGGAGGTTTGGGCACGAGTTTGGGCACAGCTTTGGCTGGTCCAAGCCAAACAGGGAGAGGTTGAGCCCAGCTCAGGAAGAACCACGCCCAGGGAGGCTGGAATGTCAGGATTTATCCAGCTGCTGGCAGCCAGCAAGGCCAGCAACACCCAAGGAAGGCTTTCCAAATTGACCTCAGTGCAGAGGAATCATTTCACTTTCTAACTTAAATATCCTCTAAAATACATGACAAAACTTAAATATATTCTAAAATACACGACAAAAGCTTGGAAATGGCTGGAATTCATTGGTGTTCTCATCAGTTTCCAGGGATCTCCTGCGAAGGGGGAAGCTCTGTTGAACTCTCTCCTCAGGAGTTTTTGTTTGTTTGGGCTTTTTTCAGTGATTAATCCCGGATATGTCATGGGTGATTGCAGAGCTGTAAAAGCTGCTGGGAAGGCTGACTAAGCTCAGTGAAAGTCTGGAAAAATCCTACCCAAACATGTCAGAATAAAGGATGAAAACTAGAAGAAGATGCAGGAAATTAAGGAGAAATCTGACCAAACCCTGTATTCATTCCAGAATTGTTGTTTCTCACAGTTCCAGAGGTTATCCAGCTGCAGGTTACCACTCAAAATATTTGAGTTTGATCCCACCCAAATTGATCAGCTACAGGAGATTCCTTCTGTTTGCACAGACTGCTTTATTTAGGGATTTATAAAAGAATCAGCTGCCATGAAAAGAGCATTTTCTTTCAAGCCCTCAGCCTTGTGCTGTTTCAGACATGGCTACAACAGCTGGAGGCTGCCAAAATGCCACCCCCTAAACTGCAGCTCAGTGTCAGACATAAACAAGATCAATTAGGGGTGCAGGAGGTGTAGCCAGGCAGTTCTGGAGAAGTTCTGAGAGATAAAATTAAGTGAGGCTGCCAGAGGGAAATTGCACAAGCTTGGCTGGTTTGGCTCCAGACTTATTTGTTCTTCAAGAAACAGATCTCAGGTGATGGCCAGGCTGCTGCAGCCTGAGTGCAGGGTACAACCTGCTCACTTCCATTCCACTGAGTGATACCCCCTGGATGCCCTGCTTTCCTTTTCTCCCAGGAAAATTGTTTAAATTTACAGCTGATTTCCATAACACAGCCTTACCTGCCACTGCCTCCAGCAGAAATTAACTTGTACTGCAGTATTAGATAAAATGTGAGAGGAATCTCCTTTTCATTCCTTGCCAACAGCTCTTTTTATTATGTTTATTCCTCTTTATGGGGTTTTTACTATTTTTTTTCCTGCTGTGATTCCTCCCAGTCATGCAGTACCTGAATATTTTGCAATAATGGCTCTGTTCAAGAACAGCACAGAAAGGGAATTTTCCTACTGAAGTCTGTCTCTATTTGAACAAAGCTCCAAAACGTTGTCACTGCATTTGTTACACCATAAAGCACACTATAGCTGCCTTTTCAATCTTTAAATTTGGAGGAGGGAAATAATTCACCTCAAAAAATAATACTTTGAGGGTATAACATTTGGGTTGAGTGTCTTGTTACCAGCAACTTATTGAGGAACTGGAGGGATTTAGGCAAAATTTGGTGACAGTTCTGAAGGGTTTGACCACAAGAGCCATGGAGCTACAGCAGGGAATGATCTGGGAAGAGGCTGGGGAAAAGGAGAGGGAGCAGGATCTGGGATCAGCCCTGTGGGAGCCAAACCCTCCCCAAACCCTGTCCTGTCCTAGTGGAAAACAGCAGGAGCTGCTCCTTTATTTGAAAAGAGAGGAGCCAGTCCTGCCTGCAGGGCACAGAGACAGCTCCAGGGAGGAGATGAGCTCAACCATCCTCACCTGCCCATGGATGACCACACTCAGATTTATTTGTCCTGCAAATACACCTGATCTGTCCAGGCAGCAGCTTCAGTGGGCTTTGGGAAGGTTTTCCTGTCACATTTATTGCAATTACAGCAGCATGACTGCTGCTAATTTAAAAGGAAATACAACTGGAGCAGTATTTTAAATTGGAGCAGGGTTTTAAATAGGCATTTGTGGAGGTGACCAGACACTGGCAGAGGAACACCCAGATTTCTGATCCAGTTTAGGCAGAAAATTCCTGTTTGGCCTCATGCAGAGGAAATTTTTACAGAAGTATTAAGGAACAGAAGTTTACTGCCCACCTAACTGCAGGATTAGCAGGCAAGAATTTCTTTCAGCCCAGGTACCTTCACCCCATGTGGGATTTGGGTTCATTGCTGTGTCCAAACCTCCTGCACTTTCTCCATCCCAATCCCTTTCCATCAGCCAAACCTCTGCTCATTAGTTTTTAATTACAGCCCTGACAGAAGTCACAAGGTTTTCCAGACCCACCAGACTGGGCAGGGCAGGTTATCAGAGAACCATGGAATATTAATGTTGGAAAAGCTCTCCAGGATAACTGAATCCAACCCTCAACCACGTCCCCAAGTGCCACAGCCAGGCACCTTCAGCACATCTCCAGGGATGGTGACTCCCTGTTCCAGTGCTTCCCCACCCTTTTTCTGGGAGCAAACTTTCCCAAATCTCCAATCAAACCCACTCTGGCACAAGCTGGGGCCGTCTCCTTGATGCCTTTTTTGGGCTCACTTAAAAACAGAGGCCAGACAGGATTAAGGGAATAAAAGTGGGTATATTTAATATTTAATGAAGGGCTTTCAGGTACATTTCAGGACAAAGCCTCCCCAAGGGGCTACATCCAAAATGGACCAATGTCATGAATTTTTGATACTTTTATAAGTTTCATCCATTTACATATCAGGGGTTGATCCTCCATTTACAGCTTCAGGTAATGTAGTAATTTACTCCAGTTTCCTCCTCTCCAAATCACTTTTATTTGTACTTTTCGGGCCCTGAGGCTGTAGGTGATGCCTGGAGAGGCTCCCTGGAGCAGAGGCTGGACAGAGTTAAGGAATAAAGCAGGGATTTACTCAAAGGCCTCACAGGACACACCTTGGGCAGTGCCAGAGCCTGGCCCTGGCTCCACCCAAGATGGACAATGAGTCACAAGATTTCACATTTGATCAGTTCTGCTCCATTTCCACGCTGGGTTCAGGGTCCAATCCCAGCTCCAGGGATGCAGTCCCACCCTCCCAGGCTGCTCTCCTCCATCCCCTGCTCTGGGCACTTTTTGGGGCTGAAGCTGCAGCGTTGTCCTTGGTTCTGGGGCTGGAAAAGGATTGTTGTGTGTGCCTGAGATGTGGGGAGAGCTGCTGGCACTTCATATGGAGTGTAAAAACTTCATATATACAAAACTATATAGTGTATATATATACTATATATAGTATACATATAATAAATATATACTATATAGTATATATATATACATAGATATACACACACTATACCATATATTTTTATATACTATATATAATTGTATATATTTATACATAAAATATAATATATATACACTATAGTATATATATACTATATACATTATATATAGTATATACAGTCTTATGACTGTAGTATATAGTAAATAGTACATATAGTCTTACTACTATATATATACTATATATAGTATATAACTAGAAGAATATTATATATAGACTATATATAGTATATAACTATAACAAGTTCAGAGTTCTAAACTAATGCAGTACAGAATCTGGAAAATATCAAAGCTAAAACTCAAGGCATCATTTGGTACCCTTGAGTTTCAGGCTTAGAGGAATTGTTTTTCCTGACCAAGACATGAAGACAGTTAAGGACATTTTACATGGAGTTTCGTTATACCCTAAAGCACTAGAGGATTTGAAGAACAGAAAAGCTCAAGCCCAAGGCATCACCCTCTCCTCTCTCCTCTCTCCCTGCTGTGTTGCAGTCTCAGAGGCCCTGAGCAGCAGCAGCAGCAGCAGCAGCAGGAGCCTGGTCGTGGCCACCATCGTGGTGCTGGTGCTGGCCCTGCTCAGCTCCCTGCTCAGCGCTGGCTTCACCTGCACCAACACTGTCAGCAACCCCTACCAGACATTCCTGGGACCCATTGGAGTCTACACCTGGAATTCCCTGTGTGGTGAGTGCCATTCTAGTCCTCACATCCATTATTTATATCTATAAATATATATATATATATATTTATATAAATATAGATATATAGATATAGATATAGATATAGATATAGATATAGATATACATATACACAAAATTATTTATTATATTATGATCTATTATATTAGATTATCATTATTATACTATATTATATATATCACATTTAAATAGATAAAAATTTAAAATAAAATAGATAAAAATTTAAAATAAAATAGATAAAAATCTATAAAATATATTATATAGATTTTTATAATAAAATATATATTATATATTATATATATTATATATTATATTTTTATATAATATATAATATATTTATATAATATATAATATATAATATATAAGATATAAGATATAAGATATAATATGTATTATATTATATATATTATATTATATATTTTATAGATTTTTATCTATTTTATAATATATTATATATAATACATTATATATAACATAAATATTATATATTTTTATATATGTGTGTGTGTTTGTGTGTTTTTATACATATATATATATAAAAATATATATTCCGACATTAAAGAATATAGATCTGCAAGAAGAAACGTCTGGAAATGCATTCTGCTCTCTGGGTTTGGTTTTTAACTGTGCCTGCTGGCACACCTGAAAACCACCTTTTAAACATGATTAAAATACATGATATGGCAATAAAAAAATATTTATATGATAGTATTTATAGGGAGGCACCAGTTTGGAGGAATGAGCCATGGCAAAAAATTATTCCCCTCTTTAAAACATAAAATTCCCAGGTGAAAATAAGTTTAAACTTGTTTAATCATTAAAAAAAAGGGTGGAGATGCTGAGTCATTAGAACTGTTCAAGAGGTGGAGGTGGGAGCCCCATTCCTGCTGGGATTGAGCCCGGCTGCTCCCAGCCCCCCTGTGCTGCTCTGGCCACCCCTCAGCTCTCACACTCCAGCAGTCTCAGGAGGATTAGGTGTTCCTCTAATAATGGGTTTGCACTTGAATAATTTCCATTTAATACATCTGATTACAGAGTACTTCAGCACAGGAATTTTGGCCTTCAAAAGCTCTTCAGGTTCAGGGAAAATGTTCCCAGCAGCGTCCCCCTGTCCTGGGGACAAAACCAGACCTGGATGGGAAGGGAACAGTGCAGATAATCTTAATTTTTACAAGTACAAGTGGAGGTGTGAAAATCACCCATTTTTTAACACAGATGCTGAAACAGCTGTGAAACACAGTCAGAAAAGGGAACAAAGCTTAATTAGACAATTATTCACTCCTGAGACTTCTGAGTCAAGCTCTGAGACAAGCTTTTCCTGACCCAGCCCCTGAACCTGCAAGCTCTGTCAGAAATGAAAGGACCATGGGCTGGCCAAAATGAAAATTTGGGGAGAAAATAAATTCTGGTGTTGGCTCAGGGCTGTGGTTACTTTTAACAGCCCTGCAAGTGCAGTGACCTGGAAGGTTATTTTGCTGTGGGTGCATTTTTATGGGAAATCACACATCATTTAACGTGGGAGGTCATCTTGGAGGTGCCTAATTCTCCTACCAGGGCTCTCCTGAATAGAAAATGAAGCTGTTTCAGCATGAGCTGGGCTGGGATGAGGTGCCTGGAGAGGAGGAATGGAACTGTTCCACCAAAGTTCAGAGATTACAGCTCTGTTGGCACGAGAAAGGCAGAGATGCAACAGCAATATTCAGATAAATGTCAAAGCAGCTGAACTTTTACATTTGGGAGGCTGCAAGAAATACACCCAGATCTAATAAGACATCACATTTTGGCTTCTCCCAGACTCATCCAATAATTCAAGTTGGAAAAAACAGGAGGGCTCCAAGTCTAACCCCTGGGCACAGCCCAGGCTGCTCAGGGCTTTATCCAGCTGTGACATTTATCCAGCTGTGACATTTTACCCAGCTGTGATATCTTATCCAACTGTGATATTTATCCAGCTGTGATATCTATCCAGCTGTTTTGACTTTATCCAACTGTGAGACTGCCCATCCATGAATTTGGGCTCATATCAAACAGACATTTACAAATCACCAAAGAGGTGAATACACAATACTCATCAGCACTAAATTAAACTAAAAAAAAGTTAAATTAGATGCTTTATCTAAGAATAATCAGTGAGAATCTAATAATTTTAGATATATCACTGCCTATATCAAAACACCTGTCAGATACTATTGGGTGGGGCAAAAATTCTTTAAATGCCCCTGTAGAATTGCTAATATTAGATAAATTGATTTAAATCCCTGGACCAGGGCAATTAAAGCAGATTATATATGATATGATATGCTATGATATGATCTATTATTAGATCTATTATTAGTATAATAATATAATATAATATAATATAATATAATATAATATAATATAATATAATATAATATAATGTTATATTATATTACATTCACTACACAAATAGCACTACAGTTCCTCCTCTAAAATTTGCATTTCTGTTTTGCAGGAGTCCTCACCCTCATAGCCATGATCCTTTTCCCTGTGAACGTGGAAGGGAACAGCCTGTCCCAAGAGCTGGCCCACAGCTGTTCTAGCTCCCTGCAGACACACCTTGGATCCAAACACAACTATGGATATTCCTACTGGATCATGCTGCTCATCCTTTTCCTGAACATTGCTTCTGTCATCATCATCTATTTCTACGACCACGCCAGATATTCCAAGAAGAAAGAGCAGGAAAGACCCATAGAGAATGCACCAAAGGATGTTATTCTGTTTTGAGGACACCTTGGAAAAGGGGGTGTGAAGGAAGGTGACTTTAATGTGGACAGCAAATTTCCATTTGCTCTGAGTTGCGTGCACACTTCAATTCCCAGATTGTTTTGAGGACACCAAAGCCTGGTTTGGTTTTGTGCCTGCTGGCCCAAGCAGGAAGGTCAAAGCCATTGTTTTGTAAAGCCTGCAAACACCAGGATCCCTTGGGATGAGGAGAAATGGTCACTGAGGTGCTGCTGCTCCATTTTCTCCTTGCTGTTCTCAGGGATCTCCTGCAGGTCTGGAGGCTCCTGGGCCTGGGAGCACCTGTGGCCAAAATCCACAGAGCACAGAGTGGATTTAAATCCCTGAGGGCATTTAAAGCCCTGTGGAGGTGGCACTTGGGGACACTGGGGTGCCCTTGGCAGAGCTGGGGAATGGCTGGACTCCATGGATTTTCCAGCCTAAATGATCCAACAGTTCCATGAGAGCAGAGAAGCCCAGTATCTGCAGGTTATTAACAGAGGAACACCAGGAAAATCCTGCTTGAGCCCTGCCCAGAGCCAAGGGCAAAGCCACACCTCGGGCAGGTGAGCCCAGCCCCTCTCCACACGCCCCTGCTGGCACAAAGTCCCTTCCCCAGGTGATGGTTCCAGTGGTGATTTCTGGCCAGGGCCATCCCCTTGCCCAGTTTGAGGAGTGTTTCATGTGCTCACAAAGACTCAGGGCTGCAGGACTGCCCAGGACAGGGGGAATCACAGTTCCATTCCCTTCTCACTCCTCCCAGGGAACGAGCACTGGGACCTTGGGACAGATCCAAAGTGCAAAATCCTGCTCAGAGCACGTGTTCAGCATTTCTGCTCCTCTGTCCTTCACCTCTGCAGCCAGGAGAGACTTTTTTCATTCCTTTAAAAAGAAAAAAAAGGCCTCCTTTTCCTTTGCAGTGTGATTTTCAGTCACGCTCCACATCTGTCCTGTGATACAAGAGGGGCTCGTGGAGATAAAACAGCACTTTGGAGAGGGGATGAGGAGATACAAGAGGTGAATCCTCACTATTTATGTCACAAAAAGAAACTTTGGAGATGAAAGCAGCCAGCACTTTGTGCAGCTGAGCTCTTTCAAAGGAACCAAAGCAGAGGGATTTCCCATCCTCCCTCTGAGGGCAGAATGGGGAATAAAATAAAAATAAAAGAGGATTTCTAAGACTTGAGGGGTGGCACAGGTCAATAAAACCAGGGCTGATCTTTGCCTGGAAGTGCTGGGGAGGGCTGGAAATGTTGTGGTGCAGCCAAACATTTGCCAGTTTTGCTTTGGCTGCAAAAATTTTCACAATTTCAGTGTTCATCTGTCAGTGTTGGGCCCAGGCAGCATCTGTCCCACACCACAGCTCTGCTCAGAGGGGTCTGGTGGAGGGATGGAGTCAGAATAATGCAGGAGGAGCCAGAATTCCAGCTCTGGGGAGCTCAGAGGGGTCTGGTGGAGGGATGGAGTCAGAATAATGCAGGAGGAGTCAGAATTCCAGCTCTGGGGAGCAGGAGCTTCCCCTTGCCTGGGAGTTTCTGCTGCATCCAAACACTGGTTTGGTGTGGTATTTTCTGGGGTCCTCATGGCAGGAAGGAAATGATGAATCTGACTCCATGTTCTTAGCAGGCTAATTTGTTATTTTATGTACTTATATTATATTAAAGAATGCCATACTAAACTATAATAAAGAATAGAGAAAGGATACAGAGAGAAGGCTTAACAAGATACTCATTAAAAACCCGTGATTCTCTCCTCAGGGTCCTGACACAGCTGGCTGTGATTGGTCATTAAGTAAAAACAATTCACATAAAACCAATCAAACAATCACCTGCTGGATAAACACTCTCCAAACCACATTCCAAAGCAGCAAAACACAGGAGAAGCAAATCAGATAATTGTTGTTTTACTTTTTTCTCTGAGGCTTCTCAGCTTCCCAGGAGAAGAAATCCTGACAAAGAGATTTTTTCAGAAAATATGACAGTGACAGTTTGGGAAATCACAGAAATCCTGCTTTTGGGTGCCTGTTGGGAGCACATGGCTCTGTTAAAATCAGACTGGAGGTCTCTTGTTTGCCTGCAGACACCAGAAAGTGGCTGTGTAACAAATCTCACCCGCTTTGATGCGAGTGCCAGATCAAAGCCACCACAACACGACACAAACCCGATTTAAACAGGAGTTCAGGTTGCAGCTGACTAACAAAGCTACCTCAGGATTCTTCCTCTGCATGATTCAGTTCAGTTTGAGGGCAGAAATTCCCTTCCCAGCACAAAGAGCTGCTCAGGGATGGCAGAGGGGAACGGGGTTGAGGAGCACCCACACATCCCCCCCCAACCCCATTGATTTGGGGCAATAAACTGCAGGGTACAATATTTACAGGCAGAATTTTAAATATAGAAAGCTTGCATTTTCAGTTTGACCCAAAAGCAGGCACCCAAGACGAGCTCAAATTCAGAAGTTCTCTGTGAGCTGCTGGTAATTCCTCCTGAACTGGGGATCAACCATCCACAGCAGGAGGGAACACACAGAGCTGGCACCAACTTTTCATCCTAAAATTCCCTCAAATGCTTCCCTAAAACTCCCTGCCAGTGCTGGGAAGTGGCAGCAGAGCACTGTGTGCAGGGGGGAGTTAGAAATTATAGAGTTTATTTTATATATATATATAAAATATATATATAAAAATATAATAAATTATATAATAAATATAATTTATTAGATACAATATATATAATAAATATATTATTACATATATAAAATATTATATAATCTTTATATATATACATATATATGTATATATAAAATAAATATATGTTATATATTGTTATATATAGTTATTATATATATTATAATATATAATAATTTATTATATATTATAATATATAATATATTTTATTATAATATATACATTATAATTATTATCAATATATAATATATTTTATTATAATATATACATTATAATTATTATCAATATATTGTATATTATATTATTTATATATATATATATATATATATATAATAAATTATAGCTGCCCAGAGCAGCTGTGGCTGCCCCTGGATCCCTGATGTTTCCATACAACTATATATCATATAAACCTTCTAATAAACTTTAAAAAAATCTCTACAAATCCACTTCACACACCTGGCAGTGTCCAGGCCAGCTTGGAGCACCCTGGGACAATGGGAGGTGTCCCTGGCCCTGGCATTGGGTGAGTTCAGGGCTCCATCAACCCCAACCCATTCTGTGATTTATCTGATCCTGGTTCCAGGCTCTCCTGCCTTTCACCCCCAGGGCAGCCAGAGGAATTTTTCCCTGAGCTGTCTGATAGCTCTGTCACAGAGATCATGAGCTGGGGCTGTGCCTGATTGAGAGCATCGATTGTCAATCCCCCGGCAGGGAGTTGTGCTGCCTCTGCAGTGGAGCAGCTCCTGGGGACAGAGATTGCTTCTATTGACTCAGCCTCTTTGCCTCTGGCTAACAGCAAAGCTGCACTGCCTCTTTTCCCCCCGTAATTGTGAATTAACCAGCTCTGCATGCTGTCCAGGAGCTGTGCCCACATCAGAAATGTTTGGATTTGCTTGCCTGCAGCTTTGCAATGTTTCTTATTGAATGTTTTCAGCTGCTGCTAAACTTTAGGTGACTGCTAATTTACCAGGTGTTGAGGATCCTCTGGGGTTTCAAAAGCTGCCTTCATTCAACATTTCTGCTGTGTGGTGTAACTTTTTTATCCAGTGTGAAACTTTGAGAGTGAACTACAAAGCTCAGGTAGATCTGGTATAAATAAAATCACAGAATTAGAGGATGGTTGGTTGGAAGCAAACTTAAAATTCATCTCATTCCTTGGGCTGAGACATTTTCCACTATCCCAGGGTGCTGCAAGCCCTTGGGCACTGCCAGGGATCCAGAGACAGCCACAGCTTCGCTGGGCACCTGTGCCAGGGCCTCAGCCCCCTCAGAGAAAAAAAAAATAAATTTCCTAATATAAAAAGAAAAATTTCTTCCTAATATATAACTGAAATCTCTGCTCTTCAATCTAAAGCCATCCCTCCTTGCAGAAAGCAGAGTGAGAATGTATGGCCCAGTTAATGTTATATATGATTGGTTTAAACGCTGCAATTCAATCAGGATCACTTCAGCAGAAGCATCCAAGAGATTTATTTAGCCAGAGAAGAAGAAGAAGTCACTTATTGACTCAGAGCAAGCATTGTGGACAGGTCAGCAGGGACTGGCAGTGAGTGACCCTAACCCAGCTGCCATGGAGCCAGCCCAGCCTGCCCTGGTTCTGCTCCTGTGCCTGGAAAGGGAATTTTGCTGGACAAGGAGGATCCTCCCAGCTTTTTATTCCGATTTCCTCCCGGCTGTTTGCTCCGGGAGCCATGAGAGGGCAGCAGGCTCCTTCCTAGGATTCCTTGGCTTTGCATTCCTGGTTTATTTTTGATGGAAAGTGGACGGAGAGAAAGGCAGGGAGGGACAGGGAGAGCTTCCCTAACTCCACATGCCAAGAAAGATTTGATTTCACTTCCTTAGGACTACAAAAAGAAAAGGTATTTCCCAAATTAAATTAATTGTTAAGGCTCTAATTGACATCCCGACTCTGTGGGAATGGGCACAGGGGGATGGAATAGAGTGGTGGGTTCCTGGGAAAAGTTTTTGGCTCATGCCCAATATTATGTTATATATATATTAATAAGAGGAAAATTGCCCCCAAAAATCCCAGAGGAAAGTGAAAATACAATATTTTAAAAAATTAATCAGATCTGACAAAGTTATTGATTAATAATGATCAGAAATGCAGATTCAAAAAGAAAATGGGATTTTATACAGCACAGATCTGACAAACAAGGATAAAAATACTGAGTTTTGCAAAGGTAACCAAGGCAACATTCACTTATATTTCTTGATCAATACAAGTGTGAGCAAAACCATCATCTCAAATAAGAATAGAGCTGCATCACTCAAAAAAAAACCATTTTATAAACATGATTATTTCTTCCATGGATGTAAGGAA